CTTTCAACCATAATGTGTGCTACCAAACAAAGACACATACTCTCCACTAGAGCCGCTGACTGCTAGCTCAACGTCCCAAACAGAGAAGATCACAACAATAGCATGTCTTCATAAACCACCCTTGTTCGTCTTCATACAATATGTTGGGAAGTTGCAGTAAATATCAATACAATATGTTCTATATCCCTTTGTGTTGTGTCTCTCCTTCGTCTGTTAAGATAACTGAACATGTTGTGAGTCTCGAGGCATTGTCAGCCTTTATATCTCATTTGTAAATGCTTAATAAGCCATAGATAGTGCTCACTTTAGATCAGCTTGTGCAAAATACTTAATGAAGGAGTAGTAAGTGCTTTGTAACTGTGAATTCCTGCATTAATCACTGTTTATAGGCCATCATTAGAAAATGAATTTGTTGTGAGTTTTATAGAACATCTGCTAACACAGTCACTAATCATTAATACATGTCTGAATAGTGGATGTGCAAGTGCATGCAGAAATGTACAGTACAATGAAGAGTAAAACATTTATAACTGTGATTATAAACCACATAGTAATGACTATTTACAGCAGAATCATGCTTTATAAATGATGGATTCAGTATTTACTAATCCATAACTAATGTGCTTATCATTGATGAATAAAACATGTTTAACTGTGTTAATAAACTACATACTAATGTGTATTAATGCGTTATAAATGATGATTTCAGTATTTATTCATGCTTAACTAATGCTTAATAGTGTGTACTCATTATAAAGTGTTACCCAGATTTATTCAAATATCATTCAATTGGTTCAATTCGTTAAAACATTAATGAGAAACAGGACTTTCTGACATTAATGGGTGTCAATCTGGTTAAACTTTAATAAAATGAATAAATCAACTTCAATCCAGAACTCTTGTGAGTCTGTTTAAGGAATAGATGAGAGATAGATTTGATTTCTGTTTTACAGAAAGAACATAATGGAGAAATATGTATTTTTTGTGACGGTGTATCAGAGTTAAAATTCACTATTAATTCTTACTTTTAATATGTATGTTACGCCCATTAGTTACACACACAGCGCAATCCCCAGTTTTACAGTTTAACAATGTGTGGAGCGATACAGCCGAGTAGATTTCAGATGTAGTTGCTTAGTTTCACCAGCAGGGTGCGCATTCATCCCACACAAACACTGGCAGCGCCTTAAGTATGGAGTTAGATTTGTGTCTTTATTACATGCGAGAAAATAAATGATCGAGAGAAAAAGTTATCACACTGAGAGCAAAAAATAATAATATTTGAGACTAAAAAAAGTTTTGAGAGAAAGTATTTTCTCATAGAACATAAAAAATATAAATGTTTAAAATTATTTCTGAGAAAAACAAATCTCTCTCAAAATGAATTAGCCATCATGCTAGGTAAACTTGCAAACTCATCGGTTTTCCATGCTGGGATTTAAAATAAAAACTAATTACCATGACAGTACAGGCACACACATATTGGTGGGTTGCTAATGTAAGAGTTAGTCCTAGACCTGCAGTTTACCTTGTCAGCTCTAGACCTCGGCTACATGCTAAAGAATATTTAGAATAATAATAATGTGTAGCTGAGTTTGCAAGCTACACATGCAGTGTAGCTAAACGTGTAGTGCAACAACCATACAAAGACTATTTTACACAAAACTAGGTGGGACACTTTCAAACGGTCTATCAATCACTGTCTAACGTTAGCTAGCTATAGGGTTGCCACCTTCCATGCAGACTAGCTGAAAGTTGTCCAGGAGGTTGTATACGATGAACAAAGGTAGAAACTAGCTCACTACTCACTAAATAAGGAGTGAAACTATCTAAATCAACTTCTGATCTGTTACTCTCTAACCAGTTAAACATCCTTTAATACCTCTGATCTGTTACTCTCTAACCAGTTAAACATCCTTTAATACCTCTGATCTGTTACTCTCTAACCAGTTAAACATCCTGCAGGCTGCACATTTAAGTGTAGTAGTAGATGAAATAAAATAGGTTACACCATCATCCACCTAAACTTGAGGCCAATCCTATTTTTAATGTAACAGGTACCAGACTAGTTATACATTTGACCACTGTGTCAACCATAGTATCAGACCACAAGTGAGAGGTACACAGGTGGCGCACTGCAGATGTGTAGGTTTAGAAAATCCCACCCATAATTTCCCAGCTATTCAAATTCACTAATTGACAATTTTTATATGCATTGGCTATGTTCATATAACAACAAATACGTTCTTAATCTCAATGGGATTTTACCTGGTTCACTGCAAAAACAGACCTACTAGAAAGAAGCAAAAATATTCTTAAATTCAATCAAATTATCTTATATCTAGCAAAAATCTGTCAATGGGGTAAGCTTTTTTTACTTGACAAGAATTCTTAAAATAAGCACAAAGTTCTTCCTCTGACAGACTAAAATGGGCCTTAAAACTAGACAGAAAATCTTAAATTTTAGTAAATTCTTCTATAGAAAGCAATGAGAACCCACAAAACCCAGATTAAGTTACTTAAAATTAGAATTTTGGTCTCTTGACTGAGTTAACTTTAAGAAATGACACCTTAATCTAGGATTAATAACAAGTATAAAAGCAGTTAAAATAAGACACAATTTCTTCAAATAGCATTAAAAAAACAAGTGACTTTGTCTTAAATCAAGACACCAAAACATTCTCATTTTCAATACTTTTTATTCACTTTGCAATACAATTGCTTAATTAAACATCCATCAAAAAACAGAATGTTATATCTGCTATTATTGCAGCATACTATAACAATTAATACAACTTTGCAGCTGCTGTTATTGCACATTATCCCACAGGAAAAGTTTTCAGTTTCACCAACAAATGTGGCTAACAGTGATAAACCTTATATTAAACAGAACTTTGACTTTCTTGGAAAGTCTTACATGAGATAGAGAGTGAGGCGGTGTCAAGAAACAACCACAAAAGAAACAAAGAGACTCACTCACTCACTCAATGAAGGACTTCCACTCGCCAATGGCTTTTTTGTAGGAAGGGGTCAAATCTTGCTCATGAATGGAATCTTGGAGAATTTGTGTTTGCAGTACTGACAGAAGTGTGGAAATACACTTTGGGTAAGTGAGGTGCAGGGCATAGTAATATGCCATGAGGTAGAGCAGTCCCTCATCAAACCTCTCAATGTTGAAGGTGGTCACTGGCATGTTTCCAATGGCGATCATGCAGTTGTCCTCAGAAACAAGCACGACTGGGCAAGACAGTGGTCGCTGGCGCAGGAAACCATCAGGATCCTCTGAAGTCTAGATGACACAAATCAATGTAGAGGATTAGAACAAAATCACAAGTAACACACACTTTGACCTGGACTAGGATATTGGTGAAATCATAATTGTACTTATATATACGTAAACATATAGTCACAATAATCCCTGAGAGGGAGAAGATGTTGTACTGTCATTGTTGAGTGCTGCAAATACTGAATGCAGCACAGCTACTGTAGTTCAAATGAAGGTAGTATTACAACTACACTATGGAGAACACTTACCCTTTGGACCTTTTGAAATAATAAAAGTTTATCTCAAAGTAACTAAACCTGACATAAAATGTATGCGTGAATAACGGAAACATATAGTATGAAATATTGCAGTAAGTCTGTAAACCTCACCGTAAGGACATGGAAAAGAGCCTCGCTGCTTAAGCCCAGCTTCTTAGGTGGCATGGTGCTGGACGGGAAGAGCAGTGGCAGGGCTCGGAACAGGAGTAGCATCCACCTATAATACATTTACACAAACATTTTTTTGAAAAACATTATCTTTTAGTGGATTAAAAAAAAACTTGAAAAAAGCAAGTTGGACTGTTGAAAGGGACTCAAAGCAGAAACGTCTAAAATAATGAAATATTATGTATATGGACCGGAATTGAAGTTACTTAACATTTCTGTGATATTGGAAAATCTGTTGTACTGTTAAACAGTTCTGTCATACTGTGAAAGACCTTACCTTTTCATCTTTATTCACAGGAAGCCATATAGCCCGGCGCCTCACCAAATGTTCAGGACCAGGAAACAGATCTTTGATGTCATCACGGGAAAGTGAAGGTAGTAAGTCTTCTGCAATATTAGCAGCTGCAATATAGACAAGTTACAGTCATTACCAAGAAACTGATGTTATCATTGAATTCCTACAGATTTAAACATCGCAGATATTTTGCCAACTCAACACCCTGACACCTCTTGTACAGTTAGCATTGTTTGGACAGTTTGCTCAGTCTTGCTACACACTACCATTTTACTTCAAGAGCAGTGAGTGAATTTGACAGCATTTATAAATTAGATATATCTATATTCAAGCCATGCAAACTACAGTAAGCGTGAGTATAGAGCCTTGCTAGATAAAATGCATTCACATTTCACATTAATGCTTGATAGAGAATGACTATTGTTTTTGAATTTTACTTAAATACATTATACATACAAGTATTTGCTATAGCACTTTTAAACAAACATGTTACAGATTTAATAAATAGCACTCAGGCGCTTTGGACTGATGTACATATGAGACAAACACAATCAAAATCAGAGTGATGTGCTTTACAGCTGATGTTTTACAAACCACCAGGTGTTACTGTATTTTCAGCATTTACAGCCCTTAATAATAAGAAAATAAAACAAAAGTCCCAAAGCCCAATTAGACTTCACATATTTTTAGAGGGGGCCCTACCAAGTACTAGCTCGTTTTTATGTCACAGCCCATTACAACTGGTTAATCTAGGTTAGCTACGTTAGCTAATATAACATCAGTACGACATAAAGAAACCCTGGTAGCATAGCTTTGAGTGTGGCAATTGAAACATCGTCCAGTTTATCCATAATTCGGCTCCACTGATATCCACATACGACACTTTCAAATGAGGAATTCACAGCAGCGGAACACGCACGCGCGGTTATTTTCAAAATGCAACGGACTTCAGGAGGGAAAAAAAGAGCGCAAAACGGTGGATTGTACCATCTGCACAGAGGGAGCGGGGGTGGGCCCTCAGCCTGAATAAGTTTATTTTGCATTTATACAAAGTATATTTATCTAAATAAGTTCATATTAACTTATAACTATTAAAATCAAGTCACATCTACGTGATCATTAATAAATAGAAGGTCGTTTCTGTCCTTATAAGGCACGGATTTATGCTACGTACCCTTGGTATCACATGATGTATCACCTGGTCATCTTGGGTTCAAGGCAAAAGAGGCAATAGCGGTACACGGCAGCGAGCTAATGTAGGCTAAAAACAGGTCGAATCAAAACATTGTTTTTTCAAACAGTGGGCCTTAAAATGAAATCTTAGAATTGTTTGCAAGTCTTTAATAAGGCATAATCAAATGTATGAATGTTGTCAAAATGTAAGTCATTCTTTTTTAAATGAGTGTGCATTGGGACCAACATCAGAAATATGCAGCATGTCATATTTAAAAGAAAAAAATGATGGCTTTCCTTGGAAATGATGACAAACAATTCAGTGTCTGTTAAATGGATTCATCTAAAAGGTAATAAATATATACGGGAGAAGACATTTGTGACTGCTGTTAATGCCAGTGATTTACCTGAATTTGGACTTGTGAGCAATATCTATGTAATTAACTCATCATTATATTGTTTTGAGTTCCAGCAGCATAATACTGTTTGTTATGATAGAAATTACATAGCATATAGATTCCAAACGGCTCAAGCAAATGAAATAATAACGGCTGATAGTCTGGTAGATTTCACTCCATATTACAGTTATACTCACAAGGATGTGACATATGTTCCTACGAAATATTATCTGGGAGATGTGCTTAGGCTACACAGAGCCTCATCTGATGAACTGTAAAAGGCACACTGTTTAATGTGTTGGCCTCTCATAGACAAACTGTTTCCTGACTGTTGTTTGTTTCATGATTGTTTCTATCTTTTCATGTATCAAAATAACTTTAATCTGAATGATAAAACAGCAGATCAGCAATCAGTTAGTTAATAGCAGTCTTTATGCTGATGCTTGCAGGATCGTACTGTATAAACCATACTCATTGCTACATTGTGATTGAGAATGCAGTTGAGTCAAGGGTCATTTCATTTTGGTCATTTTTGGTCATTTTGTTTTGTTTATGGGCCATGCCGTTTTTGTCCAACATGGTTATTTGCCAGACTGCTGTCATCTTAATATGTTAGATATAAAGCAGCAGGTTCTGCCAGCTTCAGATGGCCTGAGAACACATAACAAATGAAAATAAACAACCTTTCATTTTCTTAAGTTTCTTGGCACTCTTAAATTGAGAAGTTGTACAAGTGGTCTTACACTTAAAATGAGGCAAATAATCTTGTTGCTCTACTGGGTTTTATTGTAAAACATTTTTATACCCTGTTACTGGTTCATTCTAGCTCAAAAGTAGCTGGAATATCTTATTAAGAAAAAGTTAGCTGTACTTTCTTAAAAATTAGATTATTTTTCCAATGCGAAACATGCTTGACAAGATTAATTTTCTTTTTGGACAAAAAATAAGACTTATTTCCTTGATACAAGGCTTTTTTACTTTCTTAAAATTCCTTTTTGCAGCTGTATTCACCTGGGGGATGTCATAGTCTGTTTCTAAATTTCTTCTCCTTCTTTCTTCTTTTCGCATAATTTTAGGCTGCTGAAAATGTTAGAAGCAAAAAATATTTCACTACAATGAAATAAAAGAAACAACTAAAGGAGGTAAGATGTAATTGACTGAGTGAAATAGCAGTTCATTTAGCAGTGGTTGCTGGAATGGCTAACACTTCTTTTTGTCTGTGTTTGTGTTTCTCTCTCTCTCTGTGTGTGTGTGTGTGTGTGTGTGTGTGTGTGCAGAGAAGAGAAGAGGTAAAAGTGAGCTGGCTGCCTTGTTCCTCTTGGTAATAACTCAGAACTTTGATCCACATTAGCTGATTTTAAAGCTGTTGGCTTTTTTTACAGTATGCTTTATAAATATATATGTACTTACTTCCATACTAGGTTAGTAGCAGGCTTCTGAAAAACAGATCCTAAGTCATTTGTTGTTCTATGATACCCCATTAATATAAACTAATATTGTGGTATATGCAATGATCTTACACTTGTTTGCATTCATTCTTTTTTTCAGTGGCAAAACTTGAGAAGATACCTGGCAGCCTGCCAGCAACTTTATAGGCTCCATTTAATGTTTTTGTTTGTGTGTCTTGGTGAATGTTGTCTTCTCTCTCTCTCTCTCTCTCTCTCTCTCTCTCTCTCTCTCTGCATGAGTAAAAATAAAGATTTGTTCATTTGTTTTATTTCAGTTCAGTTTCAGTTTGCCTTTTTCATTACATTTTGAATGTTTCTTTCACACACTCATCCACATCTCCTTTAGTTTTTAATATGCAAGTCATATATACAGAGTCCAAATGTTCAGAAGTCTTCATGTTCATAATCTGAGCTCACGTTTATTTCTCCCTATAGAGTCAACAGAATCAGGATGCTACAGGGCTCCTAAAGGGGAGTGGCAGTGAAGTTAAATATTCATATTTCATATTTAATTATATTTAACGGCACTGGCAGTGGCTAAAGTAAACCAACGTGACACACAGACAGGAAATTACTAAAACCGCTCTGTCGTCCAATGGTTTGTATATTTGAATGTTTTTTCAATAATGATTTTAAGAAGAAATCTACAACAAACGCAGAGGAATAAAAATTAACGCATTCATGATTGTGCTTATAAAATCCTGTGATTTGATGAATAAAATATGCATTGATCTATACAGAATATTAGATTATTGTCCGTTTGGGTTATATAAAACTCTCCGTTTACAGTTTCTAGCTGGTAGAATTGATCTGTTGTCTGTGGACAAGTAAAATATTAGCAGAGGTTCAGTTATAAGTATATAATAGATAATAAACATCAAACGTTTCTCTTCTGGCTTTATTTTGAAAGTGTAACTGTACGTTGCATATTTATTTTGTTAATTCAGTCAGTGGGTAAACTTTAATTTATCTATATGTATTTGCAGAAAGATAATGAAATCACACAGTGTTGTTTTGCATTGCTGAGGAAGCAGAGGTGCAGGAAAAAAGAGCAGAAGGAAATGAATGTGCTATATTGTCTTCTGCAGGAGCAAATAAATGCTGGTTAACAGTTCTGTGAGTCGTCCTCTGTTTATGCCCAATCCACACACCTGTTACACATATAAAATAAAAAGTTTCTGAATGACATCACATTGTAGGAGCGAATTATAAAGTCACATATACAGTATGTATGTATAGAAGTTATTGTTTACTTTTACATAGTAATTATCCAAATATTTGAGAGGTCTTATGGCTTTCTTGTTTGTTAATCAAAGTCAAAGAGAAATTATAATTCAACAAAATACAGATGAACATTAGGTTTGAAGCGTTCCAGCCTTATGGATATGATATTTGCCAACAAGACACATAAGTTTCATAGCAGCGTTAATGGGTTGTGAGTTAATATTACAATTTAGAAAGAAGACCGTGTCACTTCTGTGCAGTTCCATAAAGTCACCAGCAGGTGTCAGCCTATGAGCAGTGTATGGGAGGAGCCAGATTATTTTGGCACCTTCTTCTAAATGTTTCAAAGTAGAAAGTTCATTAAAACGTTCAAAGTTCATTCAGCTTTTTCATATTTTTTATATTGTGTACACAATTGCAGTTCAAAACTCAAGAAACTTTCATCCCCTTGCTCTCTTGAACATAAAAACATAGGAACAATGTGTGCCGGTATCAGAGTTAAAAATGCACTTTATTAAATCTTACTTTTAACATGTATTTGTGAATTTTATTCATTTTCATTGAGTCTGAATTTTATCTCATTGAGTTGAGTGTTCAAATGTTAACACAAAAGCTGATTTTTAAGCATATCGGTGAAAGGGGCCCCGGGTTGTACAGTTAAAAGAACATGAGACTGCACGTGAGTACTGATATATAAAACTATATTAGACAACCATGAGCATAAAACCTGAGCAGATCAAAGTTTGTACATTTGTTCCACGATGACCAAAGATGATGAATTTAGTTCAAATCAAAGCCACTCTTTACACCTTGGAACTATTTTTACACAGATGCTGAATTTGATCCTGAAAGACTCTTGTTTGACATTTGAACACATTTTTTGTTCACAGAAAGTTTTTACCACCAAAGTTCAGTTTTAGACTCAAAGTTGAATATTTGTTCATATTTTAATATTTGAGTCATAGAAACACTTTCCCTGTTATTGTGGGTTCAAAAAGATTTGAAAAACAAGCAGCCACATTTGATTTGAGCCAATGTTTCTCAGAGTTATAGAAGAAGATCAATTCTTCCACCCACCTAGAGCCGGGGTCTGTCCAAGGTTTGTGCCTCTGAAAAGGAAGTTTTCAAAGAATGATGTTTTAATGTTTTATGTTTTTATGTGTTTAAATATGTGTAGTCATTAGTGTGTTTTTCTTTCTATCTGTATGTCTCACCCTGTGTTACTGTTGTTGCTACTGTGGCAAAATCAATTGCCCCACAGAAACAAATAAAGGACTTATACAGGCACTCACTGAGTTAACATGAACTATGTGGTTTAGCAATAATGGCCGTCTAACAGGAAGACACATGATGAATGTTCCTCTATCTGAGGGGGAAGAGAAAGAGGAACAACATAGTCAACAGACGTGGTACAGAGAGACTTTGTTATTTCTCACAAACAGTTTAGTTTTTTGTTTTGGCCACAGAAAAATATTTTTTAAAGGCGGATAACAACATTTTATTACATTTTCCTTTTGGTGTACGAGGAATACAGCATCCTCCAGGTGAGTTAAGTAGTCCTCTCCAGGGCCTCTGTCTGCTGTATGTTGGTGGGCATCAGAAATGTTTGATATCTGTATATGTTCATTGTACAGAGGTCATATATGATGGGAACTGCCTTTCTGTATGTGTGATATCCTTTAAACTGGAGAGTGTCAGAGGTTAGAAGAGATCATAGAGAGTGGGATCAACACGTGAGTCAAAACCAAGCTGGAGGCCTTCTCCTCTGGGGTTGAAAACAGAGATTTACCCCACGACACGGCAGGTTTAAAGCTCCCTGTGGTGGAGGGTCGGGCCTCTGACCCCAGTATGGGGACTGACCCTCAACCAGTAACCAGAGGCCTCAGGGACCAGTCCATCCTCCTGTAGACTTGGATTAGAGGAACACAGGATGGAGTCAGGCCACCCTGGGGGGAGTAAGGAACAACAGGTGTTACACTATATTATATTCTATCATTAGATTATTATTACTGCTGTATTTGGCTGTTGTAGCTGCTCAGGTGGAGCTGATTTCAACTATTTAGGAAGGACTGTGACTAATTATTATTGTCATTAATCTAAATTGTACAACTTGAGAATATATTGAGAAATGCCCGTTACAATCATCCAGAGCCCACAGTGACACAATGTTGTCTGACCAACAGTTCAAAGCTGAAAATAGTAAAAGTAGTAATACTACACTACAGAAATACTGCATTACAACTTAAAGTGCTGCATTAAAAAAGTTCCTCAGTTACAGAAGTATTCAGCACAATGTAGTTGAAGCTACCAGTCTCTCTCTGCAGACACTCACTCAGTCTTATCTCACACAACTGTGACGTCACAGCCACTTCCTGTCCACAGTTTACTTTCACTTTGTGAGCTTGTCGTGTCGCAGCTTCTTCTTCTGTCCATGTGAAGGTTAGTAAGAGACACTTTTCACTGTTTGACTCCTCAATGACTCTTTGTTCATCTTGTTAGTTTAGTTCAGTAGAAAGAGCAGAAAACTCTACTAACAGTCAACTGAGAACCAACATGGAGGAAGAGTGTCCTCCATCTTACTGTCAGTGTGTCACTGTTCAAAGTAATCAGAGTACTCACTGACAGTACTCAGAGTACTCACTGTATGATTTCTGTCTGTCTTTATGAGCTCACCTTATCAATGTAGTTGAAGTATGTAAAGTGAAAGTAGTCAGTGTACAGAATGGCCTCTGTCAGTGTTGTATTATTATATTAGTGGATGATTATTATTGATGCATTAACATGTAATCAGTACTTTAATGTTGGAGTTGCTGCAGGTGGAGCCAATATGAACTACTTCAAATACTTTTGGCTGCTTGAATGTAAAATAATGAATTCTATTTTATAAACTGATCCCATGTTTGAAAAGTAAGCAGGAAGTAAAGCTGTCAGATAAATGCAGCTCCATGAGGCCATCTAGTGGACTGATAGTAGAAGTAGAGCAGCTGATGGCAGCTTTCTGCTCTCATTCTTCCTCAACACTGACCAATGAGAACAAGCAGCATCTCCTCTGGCCAATAACAAACCACTATTGATCCATGTATTGATTAGTTTGCAATGTGTGACAGTGATGAGAAAAGGCCATCAGTAGTTCCCAGAGTTCACAGTCATGTTTTCTAACTGCTTCTTTAGTCTGAGCAACAGTCTAACAAGACAAAGGGATTCAACTGACACTGAGATGAAACAGAGAGAAGCAGCCAATCAGTGGAGAAGCAGCTGATAGTTTTACAGGAGAAATGATGTAAATCAGTGGTTCCCAACCTGAGGGTCAGGACCCCCACAAGTGGTCACCAAAGCTTCATGGGGGGTCTGTAGGTTGGCTTATATCTCAGCATCTGGTTCACTTCTGTGAAGAAAAGTCAATGTAAAGTAAACTGTCTAATAGATCAATGACCAAACATCGGGGACAAGAAAACAGTGAATTTGTCCAAAAAGAAGCATATTAAGTATTTATGATTGTTAAAATGATAAAAGATACATAACACAGACAAACTGTATAAAAAGTTCCCTAAACAGGAAATAATCTGCTCAGAATTCATCAGAATCAACTTCAACTTCTTGCAGTTACTGAGTTCAATATTTGGGTTGATTGTACAGTTTTGGATATAATATGAAATATGTATAAAATATGTCACTCAGTCAGGGGTCGTCAGTTTACTCTGATAGAAAAAGGTTGGGAACCACTGATGTAAAGGATGAATGAGTGATGATGAGTTCTCAGTGCTGATCAGTGATTGGACTGATGCTTTCAGCTCTGCTCTCAGTGTTTCCTCTACAGATGAAGGTAGAAAGTCTCTGGGAGCTGATGTGGATGTGAATTCAGCAGCAGCTGCCAAGGTAACAGGATTGATTTTGGATTATTGGACTAGCTGCCACTGCATGCTCTGACTGGATATAGTAGACTTGGAAAAAGAGCAACATTTCAACTGTTGAGGAGCTTTTCAAAGTCAGTCAAATAGAAGTGAAACAGCAACATGAAGTGTATTCCTCTAGTCTTCAACCAACCCCACAGACTAAAGAGCATTGTGAATGTCATTTCTTAGATACTGCAGCTCAAAGTGCCAACAACATTTCTACTCTGCCATGGAAACTGTCAGATGAGTGGATTCAGTAATGAGCTGAATGAGCCGTTTATATCAGCCAGTAGAGTCCTATTGTCCTATTGTGTGTTAGAAATATACAGTCTGCATCTCCAGCATTTACACACTGACAGATGCTAACTTGCATTTGTTGGTCAATTAGCATAATTAGCATTAATAATCAGCTATATGGACAATATTTCAGTAATTGTTTGGATGATTTAGACAATATAGGAGTGTTTTTTGGGGGGTTATTGACGATGATGAATCAATTTCTGACATCTGTGGCAACATTTCATCTCAGAGTGAGCTGATTTTTGAGGATTTTTTTGTCAATTTTGAGATTATTTATTTGCTTAATGCATAACCACAGCTGCAGAGACACAGGTCAATGAGAAAATGCTGCACAGCAAAAGAACACCAACAGAAATTTGAATAAATATCTGAACAGCAATGACAAAGAGCTTCCTAAACTGCAGTTCCAATGTATTATGCATATAAATAACCTCAATATTAGTGAACCTGGAGTTCAAATAAAATAAATTAAAGTGCAATTTTGTATTTTGTAAATGTCAGAATTTGATCCATCATCCTCAGCAACTTCCAAAACCACTACTATAGTATCTGTTGAAATATTCTCCATACAGACATACATACATGCTTATTAATGCTAATAATGATGCTTGAGTTGGAATCTGTCAGTTTCTAAATGCTGGGGACCCACACTGTACATTTCTAACATAAAACTTTGGTACTCAACATTTCTGAGTTCACGTTGCTGCGAGTCGACTAATCCCTCCAATCAGAGCTGTGTGTTTTTGTCATGTGACTGAGAGGAATGATGGGAAATAATGTGTGATCTCTCCCAGCAGGTTGCTGTGTCTGTGTGAAGGTGTGGGCTCTGCTATGAATCAGTGTGAGGACAGAGAGGAGAGAGTCCCTTCCTCTAAAAGCACTCTGTGTGGGGAACATGACACAAGGACCAAAGCTCAGAGGTGAGATGAGGATCTCTAACTGTCCATGACTCTTCTCCATGTCACAAAGGCTTTGATTCTCCATTTGAAACAAAGACATTTATCTGAGCTAAAGTACATAGCTGTCAGTATTCAAACAGGGCTGGACAATCTGATCTCAAATCAGTATCAGGAGAAACATTCAGCTTCATAATGAGAAATGTAACAGTAACATGTGTTTGAATCAATCAGAGCAGATTTCCTTCCTCATGTTGCTCACTGCTGATGTTTGTCCTGATTCATTCCAGTCTGACCAGTTCCACATTCTGCTCTTCTGGACTGGACTGGGAGCTGATTGCTCACTGGTTAGATGTTGTAGCTGCTCTCACTTTAATTATATGGAATTCAGACAGTGTGTTGAAGTGTGTGACATCAGTAAATTGTGTTCAGTAACACGTCCATAATGTCAGTAATTGAAGACATTGTTCTTATTGTCCAGCCCTGTATTCAAACATTTCAAATTATACATCAGTTCACAAAGTCTTTGATTCAGTGAGAATGTTTCTGAATATGTGAGCTTTAATGAATTTCTTTCTATCAGGATCCATCAGAGACCAGACTGTCCTGAACCTGAACCCAGCTGTGTGTCCATGAAGAGTGATCGCTCTATGGATGATCGTATGTACTTCAAAGATGGCCGCCATTCTGTTGATCAAAGGTGAGGATTTCAAACTGATGGTGAAAATAAAACGTATTTTTATCAGACTCTCAGTTGTGAAGTCTCCAGTTGTAAATCTTTTAAAATGTCTTTTAATGGACGGTGATGGTTTGTGTCTGATCAGTTCAATTTACAACAGCCTCAGTTTCACAGTGAACAAATAGTTGCAGCAGTTTATAGAAACTCACTGCTTTGACACCACGTCTGTTCCTCTTTTTATCCTAATTGGACCGATATGATCACTCCACTCCATCATTTCCCCGCCTATACTGCACACTGCACTGAATACAGCTTTAAAATACACAGTGAAACATGTCTAAATCAAACACTGACTTTATAGAAATCCTAACCAAGAACTCCCTGGGTACAAATACACTGTGTACAGTCGGTGTATTCAGTCACTGGCAGGTTCTGTCTCAGTGTGTTGTGGGTGCAGTGCAGAACTGATCCTGTTTTTCTATCAGGAGGAAAAAACCTGAACCCAGCTGTGTGTCTATGAAGAGTGATCACTCTATGGATCGTCCTATAGACTTCAAAGATGGCCGCCACTCTGTTGATCCAAGGTGAGGATTTCGAACTGATGGTAAAATAAAATGATGTGTTTTTATCAGACTCTCAGTTGTGAGATCTCCAGTTTTTAAACCTTTACTGACTCAGATGAAGTTCTCTGAGCACCAACACTCTTTCAGCAGCAGCTGCCTCACACTCACACAGTCAAACACATTCACACTGGGAGCTGCCCAGTACAACCAGTCTGATACAAGCAGACACTGAGCAGCTCCTCTGGAGCAGCTGGAGTCTCTAGGTGCCTTGCTCCAGGGCACTTCAGCAGTGTACAGTGAGGGAGGGAGAGCTATATGGAGGGGTTGGTGAGAGCTGTTGGGACTGAACCAAACTGAGCTGTTGATTCTCAGTGGGATCAGCAGGACTAGTAAACCTTTACCACTACAGGGAGTCATCAGATTCACTGTTCACATCCAAATATCACTTCATGGACCTTTACCTTGTGTTTGTCTCTGTGTGGACAGACATAATGTGAGCTCATTCTTCATGATTCCTCCACAGAGTGGACCAGGAGACATCACAGGTTCCCAGTGGTCAGTCTGCCCAGCAGCATCAAACACACCTGGACTCCATATTTATGGTCTGTACATGGACAACAACTACTTTTACATCTATTGTGTTCACAATAATCTCCATGCTGCACTTTTTAGACCAGTGGATTGTCAGTCTGTCCAACATGGATCTGATGTTTGCTTCCATGATTTGACTTTGATTGAGTCATTCATATAATATTCTGTTCCAGCTGCTGGAGGACAACATTGTCACTTTTGTGAAGAACGAGCTGAAGAAGATCCAGAAGGTTCTGAGTTCAGATTACCCAGAATGCTCAGAGAGTCAGAGGGAGGATGAGGAGGTGTTGGATGGTGAGGATGAAGAGCAGAGGAGGAGCAGCAGAGAGGCATTACTAAAGATCACAGTGCACTTCCTAAGGAGAATGAAGCAGGAAGAGCTGGCTGACTGTCTACAGAGCAGTAAGAGGATTTTAACAGATTGAACATGATGGAAAGAGGAAATGGAGGCAACATGGGAGAAGTTTACTTTTAAAACTTTGCTGATAATATGATGCACACATTGTATCAGATCTATGAATTCTTCTGGACTGAAAACAGAAACTGTTTACAACTGATGAGCTGAAGAGATTTAATGGGGGAGGAAAATAAATACCATCTTGATGTCTTAAAGTTTACATCCATCAGATTTATTGGAGCTTCTACTTATTAACTACATTTCTTATTTCTTCATTCAGGAACTGTTGCTGCAGCATGCCGACGTGAACTTAAATCTAACCTGAAGAAGAAGTTCCAGTGTGTGTTTGAGGGGATTGCTAAAGCAGGAAACCCAACCCTTCTGAACCAGATCTACACAGAGCTCTACATCACAGAGGGAGGGACTGCAGAGGTCAATGATGAACATGAGGTCAGACAGATTGAAACAGCATCCAGGAAACCAGACAGACCAGAAACAACAATCAGACAAGAAGACATCTTTAAACCCTCACCTGGAAGAGATGAACCAATCAGAACAGTGATGACAAAGGGAGTGGCTGGCATTGGGAAAACAGTCTTAACACAGAAGTTCACTCTGGACTGGGCTGAAGACAAAGCCAACCAGGACATACAGTTCACATTTCCATTCACTTTCAGAGAGCTGAATGTGCTGAAAGAGAAAAAGTACAGCTTGGTGGAACTTGTTCATCACTTCTTCACTGAAACCAAAGAAGCAGGAATCTGCAGGTTTGAAGAGTTCCAGGTTGTGTTCATCTTTGACGGTCTGGATGAGTGTCGACTTCCTCTGGACTTCCACAACACTGAGATCCTGACTGATGTTACAGAGTCCACCTCAGTGGGTGTGCTGCTGACAAACCTCATCAGGGGGAAACTGCTTCCCTCTGCTCGCCTCTGGATAACCACACGACCTGCAGCAGCCAATCAGATCCCTCCTCAGTGTGTTGACATTGTGACAGAGGTCAGAGGGTTCACTGACCCACAGAAGGAGGACTACTTCAGGAAGAGGTTCAGAGATCAGGAGCAGGCCAGTAGAATCATCTCCCACATCAAGACATCACGAAGCGTCCACATCATGTGCCACATCCCAGTCTTCTGCTGGATCACTGCTACAGTTCTGGAGGATGTGTTGAAGACCAGAGAGGGAGGAGAGCTGCCCAAGACCCTGACTGAGATGTTCATCCACTTCTTGGTGGTTCAGTCCAAAGTGAAGACCATCAAGTATGATGGAGGAGCTGAGACAGATCCACACTGGAGTCCAGAGAGCAGGAAGATGATTGAGTCTCTGGGAAAACTGGCTTTTGAGCAGCTGCAGAAAGGCAACCTGATCTTCTATGAATCAGACCTGACAGAGTGTGGCATTGATATCAGAGCAGCCTCAGTGTACTCAGGAGTGTTCACAGAGATCTTTAAAGAGGAGAAAGGACTGTACCAGGACAAGGTCTTTTGCTTCGTCCATCTGAGTGTTCAGGAGTTTCTGGCCGCTCTTCATGTCCATCAGACATTCATCAGCTCTGGAGTCAATCTGCTGGCAGAAGAACAAACAACATCCCAGTTGTCTGAATTAAGTAAAGACAAAGAAAATCTAAAATATCTCCACCAGAGTGCTGTTGACAAGGCCTTAGAGAGTCAACAAGGACACCTGGACTTGTTTCTCCGCTTCCTCCTGGGTCTTTCACTGCCGACCAATCAGAATCTCCTACGAGGTCTGCTGACACAGACAGGAAGTAGCTCACAGACCAATCAGGAAACAGTCCAGTACATCAAGAAGAAGATCAGTAAGAATCTCTCTGCAGAGAGAAGCATCAATCTGTTCCACTGTCTGAATGAACTGAATGATCGTTCTCTAGTGGAGGAGATCCAACAGTCCCTGAGTTCAGGAAGTCTCTCCACAGATAAACTGTCTCCTGCTCAGTGGTCAGCTCTGGTCTTCATCTTACTGTCATCAGAAAAAGATCTGGAAGTGTTTGACCTGAAGAAATACTCTGCTTCAGAGGAGGCTCTTCTGAGGCTGCTGCCAGTGGTCAAAGCCTCCAACAAAGCTCTGTAAGTACAGAAATAGTTGGATGTCTGTATTATCACTTAAATACTCTCCTATCTTTTCGACTTAGAGATTATAAAGACATTATATATCACCAACATTGGGAACTCCTCACTAGCTGATATCATTTTTACAGAACTAATTTAAAGTGTTTTTGGTTTTGGCTGAGTGATAAAGTGCTGGTCACAAATTTTATTTTCTTATTGTTGATCATTGTCTCTACAGACTGAGTGGCTGTAACCTCTCAGAGAGAAGCTGTGAAGCTCTGTCCTCAGTTCTCAGCTCCCAGTCCTCTAGTCTGAGAGAGCTGGACCTGAGTAACAACAACCTGCAGGATTCAGGACTGAAGCTGCTTTCTGTTGGACTGAAGAGTCCACACTGTAAACTGGAAACTCTCAGGTCAGTATTTGTCAACCTGTTCAACTGATAACCACTTTAAACCTGAATTATGTTGATGGTTACAATTGTAATCTTCCTAACATTGTCTCAAATCATTGTTTTGTTTATTTAGTTTGAGTCTCTTTCCTTGAACATGTTTATTATGTAATGTGTTGTTCTGTGTGTTTTTGCAGGCTGTCAGGCTGTCTGATCACAGAGGAAGGTTGTGCTTCTCTGGTCTCAGCTCTGAGCTCCAACCCCTCCCATCTGAGAGAGCTGGACCTGAGTTACAATCATCTCAGAGACTCAGCAACAAAGCTGTCTGCAGCACTGGAGGATCCACAGTGGAGACTGGACACTCTCAGGTATGAGGCGGATCAATACAGTATTAGTAGTCAGGTGACAGAGGAAAGGTGATGAAATCTCTGTTTTTCTGGACCGATGTCTTGTTTCAACATTGGAAAATAGGACAGTGGTTTATCCTGATGGGTTGGTGAGCATCATGGCGGGTTGATATTTGTCAATGTTGTCACGCTGCAGGTTTGTGGGCTCGTATCATAAATAGTTTGGGATATTTTGATGGATGTCATCTGCCATCAGCGTGTGTTACCTTTTAGTCCAGAAAAACTAAAGGCATCACCTAAACTACAATTCAGTACAGTTCAGTTCAGTTTTATTTGTATGTCACCAATTCATAACAGAAGTTATCTCAGGACAGTTTTCAAATAGAGCAGGTCTAGACCGAACTCCTTATAACATTATTTACAGAGACCCAACAGTTCCCACCATGAGCAAGACCTTGGAGACAGCGGCAAGGAAAAACTTCCTTTTCCGCCCTGACAGAGAGAGAGAGAGAGAGACAGAGAGAGAGAGAGAGACAGAGAGAGAGAGAGAGAGAGAAGAGAGAGAGAGAGACAGAGAGAGAGAGAGAGACAGACAGAGAGAGAGACAGACAGAGACAGACAGACAGAGACAGAGAGAGAGAAATAGAAATAACTCATGATGAACATGAAGATGATGACAATGACAACAACGATGGACAATAATAATAGTAACTATAATAATTTTAGAATATATATTATGAGATTAGAATGATAATTATAATAATAATAATAATAATAATAATAATAATAACAGCAGTAATTTTGAGGCTTCACCAGGATCGATGAGAACCTGCGAGATGAGAAAGCACAAGAACTCCGGGGAAGAAGTGAAGTTAGTAACATGCATTAATGGGACATGAATGAGTGCAGAAAGAGAGAGGAAGAGAGGAGCTCAGTGCATCATGGGAAATCCCCCGATAGTCTAGGCCTATAGCAGCATAACTAAGGGATGGTTCAGGACTCACCTGATCCAGCCCTAACTATAAGCTTTATCAAAGAGGAATGTCTTAAGCCTACTCTTGAATGTGGAGAGGGTGTCTGCCTCCAGAACCACAACTGGAAGCTGGTTCCACAGGAGAGGAGCTTGGTAACTGAAGGCTCTGGCTCCTGTTCTACTTTTAGAGACTATAGGAACCACAAGTAGTCCAGCATTCAGAGAACGTAGTGTTCTAGAGGGGTAATAGGGTACTATGAGCTCTTTAAGATATGAAGGGGCCTGACCATGAAGAGCTTTGTAGGTGAGGAGGAGGATTTTAAATTCTATTCTAAATTACTACTGATGTGAGATCAGTTGTGTTTAATGCAGGGAAATGTATATTTGCTATGTTTTTTAGAAGATATAAAATTTTCCTGTGTTCTGAGCAGTCCTTGAACACCTCCTGCTGTATGTTTTGTTGTTTATTAGAGTATTCAGGTGTAACCTGTATTGTCAATCAGGGTCTATTGGTGTATAACCTACCGATTTGGAGGATTAAAGAGAACGGGACGTATAGAGAGAGACCCTCCCCCCCCCCCCCTTCTTCTCCTCCATAAATTTTTTTCCCCCCCCCCCCCCCCCCCCCCCAAAAAAAAAAAAAAAAAAAAAAAAAAAACCTTTTCTTTTTTTTCCTCATACCCCCCCCCTTTTTTTTTATAAAAAAAAAAAAAAAAAAAAAAAAAACTTTTTTTTTTTTAAAAAAAAAAAAAAAAAAATTTATTTTTAAAAAAAAAAATTTTTGTTGGGGGGAGGGAAAAAAAAAGAGGAAAATTGCCGCTCAACACAAAATCCTTTTGCTCCCCGCTCCGCTCATATGCTCTGACAGGGACTAACGTTAGTTTCACAACTTTGATCATCCGCCACTGGACAGAGGTTGTGAACTAAACAAACAACGTTGCTATCCAGTGTGCGTGTAATCAAAAAGGATGGAGATGGAGAGTGTTATTTTGATTGTGTGTTCTTTGCGTAATGGATGTGGAGAACTGTTCAATAACGTTTAAATAGTCAGAGATTATTTCCTTGTGGTTTGCGTAAAAGGATTTTGGAGCTAATAGAGTCGCGTGTGACATAAACGTAGATGGTGCAGTGACTCAGGTTCATGCCAGCTGAACAAATCTATTGCATTGTTATAGCGTTAATGTGAAGTTTAATTAATAGCGCATATATTCATCTGAGAACTGATGATGTCTGTGTGTTACAGACCCTGGCTGTGTGCACTGAAGTGTATATGACAATAAAGTAGTGAATCTCAATCTATTTATTTATTTTTAAAATGTATTTTAAATAGGCCTATAGGCTCATAGGTTTTTTGTCCAAAAATACCAAACAATTTTTTCACAGCCCCCCCTGTTCAAAATTAGAAGTTTATTTAAATCAAACAGTTAACTGCCAGTGGTCAAAGCCTCCAACAAAGCTCTGTAAGTACAGAAATAGTTGGATGTCTGTATTATCACTTAAATACTCTGCTATCTTTTCGACTTAAAGAGATTATAAAGACATTATATATCACCAACATTGGGAACTCCTCACTAGCTGATATCATTTTTACAGAACTAATTTAAAGTCTTTTTGGTTTTGGCTGAGTGATAAAGTGCTGGTCACAAATGTTATTTTTCTTATTGTTGATCATTGTCTCTACAGACTGAGTGGCTGTAACCTCTCAAAGAGAAGCTGTGAAGCTCTGTCCTCAGTTCTCAGCTCCCAGTCCTCTAGTCTGAGAGAGCTGGACCTGAGTAACAACAACCTGCAGGATTCAGGACTGAAGCTGCTTTCTGTTGGACTGAAGAGTCCACACTGTAAACTGGAAACTCTCAGGTCAGTATTCGTCAACCTGTTCAACTGATAACCACTTTAAACCTGAATTATGTTGATGCATACAATTGTAATCTTCTTAACGTTGTTTTGTTTATTTAGTTTGAGTCTATTTCCTTGAACATGTTTGTTATGTAATGTGTTTGTAGCACCCAAACACTCAGTAAATGCTTAAGTTAAAGTAACTCACCCTGGACTTGAATGATGGGGTGTTGGGGTTTGATTTATTAAGGTAGCTACCACGAAGGTTTAACTGTTTTGTGTGAAACTTTTTATGGCCTAATACTTTATGAATAACGAACAACTTTGTTAGACTAAGCAGTGGCTCTATTCACACGTACTCTACACTATTTTAAATAACTGACCCCAGACAACTCTTTCAAATAAATGAAATAATAGTTAACCAACCAGTTGTTTTCCAGTTTAACACAAATAATATTTACTTTGTTCATTAACAGATGAACAAAAATGAAATAACACAATTACTCAAATTAGACTTCTTTAAAATAAAAATATTATAGTTGTAAACAAAATGACCTTTACCAAAATTGGCAAAACACTGTAGAAAAATAGACACTCATAATAAGCAAAATAGAATTGGCAATATCAAAATACTATTCAAAATTCAAATAATTGCAGGTCTCCGGTAAAATTCCTAGTTCTTACCCCTTAATATGATTTCTCTATACTTATCAACTCAGATCAAATATGCTACTTAACTGAACTCTAACAAAACAGTGGGCCCACACACACACACACACACACACACGCACACGCACACGCACGGCACAGGCACACGCACACAGTCACACACAAACACACACACACACACATACACAAAAACAAAAAAAGGCCTGTGTGTTGCTCGGTGCGGTGCGGCATGGCAAATCCTTATCCTCAGTGACAATTAACAGTCACAAAGAAATCCAACTCACGGTCTGGAATAAGTCCTGGAGAAACAGTTAATGAAGAGATGGAGATGAAAGCCAACGGCAGCAGAAGTAAAGTCCTCCTCAGGAAGCGTGAAACAGTCCTTCCCGTTCAGCAATGGCGTCCTCTTGGCTCGATTCTCCCGCCCCTTTTTTGTTCACTCCCTTACCTACGGCCAATAACCAACAGGTGACATTGAGTGATACCTACAGCAACCAATCAAATGAAACAGCATGAAACAATAGCCAAATCTGAAAATTCATGTTTAGTTTACCACACACTTTTCTTCAGCTACTATACAGAACAGTTTAATGTAACTACTTAATGAACTATTTACACTCTACTTTATTTATTATGAATTTATGTTAATCTATCGGTTAACATTTCATCTTTCACTGCTTTTAACCTAAATTACTTTCAGTTTATTTGCATTACTGAATTATTTAATTAATTCACTGAAATAATTATTTGTATTACAAATTAACTTGTTTTAACCCCTGTACTTTTACACTGGACTACATGTTGTTCTGTGTGTTTGCAGGCTGTCAGGCTGCCTGATCACAGAGGAAGGTTGTGCTTCTCTGGTCTCAGCTCTGAGCTCCAACCCCTCCCATCTGAGAGAGCTGGACCTGAGCTACAATCATCCAGGAGACTCAGTAACAAAGCTGTCTGCTGGACTGGAGGATCCACAGTGGAGACTGGACACTCTCAGGTATGAGGCAGATCAATACAGTAGTAGTAGTCAGGTGACAGAGAAAAGGTGATGAAATTTCTGTTTTTCTGGACCGATGTCTTGTTTCAACATTGGAAAATAGGACAGTGGTTTATCCTGATGGGTTGGTGAGCATCATGGCGGGTTGATATTTGTCAATGTTGTCACGCTGCAGGTTTGTGGGCTCATATCATAAATAGTTTGAGATATTTTGATGGATGTCATCTGCCATCAGCGTGTTACCTTTTAGTCTAGAAAAACTAAAGGCGTCACCTAAACTACAATTCAGTTCAGTTCAGTTTTATTTGTATGTCACCAATTCATAACAGAAGTTATCTCAGGACAGTTTTCAAATAGAGCAGGTCTAGACCAAACTCCTTATAACATTATTTACAGAGACCCAACAGTTCCCACCATGAGCAAGACCTTGGAGACAGTGGCAAGGAAAAACTTCCTTTTCTGCCCTGACAGAGAGAGAGAGAGAGAGACAGACAGAGACAGACAGAGAGAGAGAGAGAGAGAGAGACTAGAAATAACTGATGATGAACATGAAGATGATGACAATGAAAACAACGATGGACAATAATAATAGTAACTATAATAATTTTAGAATATAATAAGATTAGAATGATAATAATAATAATAATAATAATAATAATAATAATAATATCAGATATTTTGAGGCTCCACCAGGATCGATGAGAACCTGCGAGACGAGAAAGCACAAGAACTCCGGGCAAGAAGTGAAGTTAGTAACATGCATTAATGGGACATGAATGAGTGCAGAAAGAGAGAGGAAGAGAGGAGCTCAGTGCACCATGGGAAATACCCCGATAGTCTAGGCCTATAGCAGCATAACTAAGGGATGGTTCAGGACTCACCTGATCCAGCCCTAACTATAAGCTTTATCAAAGAGGAACGTCTTAAGCCTACTCTTGAATGTGGAGAGGGTGTCTGCCTCCAGAACCACAACTGGAAGCTGGTTCCACAGGAGAGGAGCTTGGTAACTGAAGGCTCTGGCTCCTGTTCTACTTTTAGAGACTATAGGAACCACAAGTAGCCCAGCATTCAGAGAACGTAGTCTTCTAGAGGGGTAATAGGGTACTATGAGCTCTTTAAGATATGAAGGGGTCTGACCATGAAGCGCTTTGTAGGTGAGGAGGAGGATTTTAAATTCTATTCTAAATTACTACTGATGTGAGATCAGTTGTGTTTAATGCAGGGAAATGTATATTTGCTATGTTTTTTACAAGATATTGAATTTTCCTGTGTTCTGAGCAGTCCTTGAACACCTCCTGCTGTATGTTTTGTTGTTTATTAGAGTATTCAGGTGTCAACCTGTCATTGTCCAATCAGGGTCTATTAGAGATGAGTATGAGGAAACCTACCGGATTCTGAGAGGATTAAAAAGAGAAACGGAGACGTAAAAGAGAGATAGAGAGACGCTCAATAGCACACTTGTACGACTTCTCAGTTTCTTTTCTGAAGTACACATTAAACTCCATAGTTTTGAAAGAAAATAGTGTGGGTGTGCGCGTGCAGGTGCAAAGACTGGAGCGATCTTTAAAAAAATTGCCGCTCAACACAAAATCCTTTTGCTCCCCGCTCCGCTCATATGCTCTGACAGGGACTAACGTTAGTTTCACAACTTTGATCATCCGCCACTGGACAGAGGTTGTGAACTAAACAAACAACGTTGCTATCCAGTGTGCGTGTAATCAAAAAGGATGGAGATGGAGAGTGTTATTTTGATCGTGTGTTCTTTGCGTAATGGATGTGGAGAACTGTTCAATAACGTTTAAATAGTCAGAGATTATTTTCTTGTGGGTTGCGTAAAAGGATTTTGGAGCTAATAGAGTCGCGTGTGACATAAACGTAGATGGTGCAGTGACTCAGGTTCATGCCAGCTGAACAAATCTATTGCATTGTTATAGCGTTATTGTGAAGTTTAATTAATAGCGCATATATTCATCTGAGAACTGATGATGTCTGTGTGTTACAGACCCTGGCTGTGTGCACTGAAGTGTATATGACAATAAAGTAGTGAATCTCAATCTATTTATTTATTTTTAAAATGTATTTTAAATAGGCCTATAGGCTCATAGGCTTTTTGTCCAAAAATACCAAACAATTTTTTCACAGCACCCCCTGTTCAAAATGACTTCCAGCGGCCCTGGGGTACAAATTAGAGTTAGATTAGAGTAGCAAAATTCAACTGCTCTTAACTCATCCTATAGAATAACATTTATCAGTCATCAGCTCATCATCTGTGTCACCTGTATTGTTACCTGTGTTTGCTTTACTAATTGAGGCGCCATCTTGTGGTTACATAAAAACACAGCAATCCAGGCAACAGAACAGAAAAACTAAAGGCGTCACCTAAACAACAATTCAGTTCAATGTCACCAATTCATAACAGAAGTAACTACTGCACTCAGGTTCAACTCAAGGAGTGAGTAAATGTAAATAATAATAATGTAAAAAGGTAAACACAATTTCACAATCAACAAAAAGTAGAATCACAGTTCAGATTCATTCCAATATATAAAAGAAATAAAAGAACTGAAAGTGAAAGTGTTTCTTTACAGCTTATTGCTGTCTGATATCAATGTTGGTCAAAGTCCAGTCCAAAAGCTTAGTGTGTATCCATGTCCGTCCAAGTGTATTCAATGTGTATGTGCTACCCGGGTAGAATGTGTGTGTTTGTTTGTACGCTTGCTCAGATCTTATCTTCAGGAAGATGATGAAGATGGAGAATTCCAGATACTCTCTAACCCTGCCTCGCATCCCACAGGAAACCCAGAATGTAGATCCAGCAACTCAAAAAACCAATTATCTCTCATCAATTACTGTACAGTATCATATCTCTCTTTAACTCAAGTGTAACTTATAACAAAAGCAATGATGAACTATATCCTGAGACCTTAAAAGCTTAGACATCATTGTGTTTTGTTTCCTTTTACCCGTATTAATAAATCATGTTACACAACTTATCTCTTATCTCTAATCAATCATGTCTCTCATTGATATTCACCCATATGTATTTTTAACCATCTCAACATGAACTGAAACACATTATTTATATCAGGAAAAACCCATATGTATACAAATCATGAGCATTAGCCCACATATAGCATATTTTTAACTCTGAACATGGCGCCCAGAAATGTAAAAATTAGCATTACACTAAAAATAAGTAAATGCAGAGAAATATTATATTTAGTCGGCTCTTACCAATTCACCTCCCATGTTAAACTGTTTAAAGGTAATCAATGTAAACATTCTGTTACAAATATAATACTGATAATAATAATAGATCATCAATAAGTGAAAATAATGAGCTGTAGCCATCGGCCAATAA